ATCGATTTTTAAATATTGCAGCAACACTGCTGGAAAATCATCTTTGATTTAACTTCAGTTGATATAGAATTACACAAGCTTCAGTTGTTCCCAGCAGCCGGAATTTGCCTGATTTGTCTTTAGAGTTTGTGTTTTTTCTCCAAGGACCTACATCCTCTCCTGCATACTAAAGATCTGCACTCTCTCAGTCTAATATCAACTTAATGAGCTATCAAAGAATCAGGCTGCAGGGAGTCATTTATTATAGCTGGCAGAGATCAGCAAGATGGAGTAGTGTGAAGCGTAGCGGACTTGAACTTGAAGGAGAGATTTACTACAGAGCAGCAATGCTGCATTAACAGGACTTTATGTTTCAACGCTGTACGGGTAACAGTTTATCATGGGTTTCTCCATTAGTATGGGGTATGTGTACACCCCAAAGGGGCTCTGTTGGAAAGATTTTGCTTTGTTAAACCTACATTGTGAAAAAAATTGTAGCAGTTGTTGCCATACAGAGCTACTTCAACCTGATCCAACTCTTACATTTAGTTTTATTGTTGTAACCTAATATATTTAGGTTGATTCAGTGATGATGATAAATAATATTTTTGACATTAAGTTAGGTTTAAATTAAGACAAAAATAAATAAATAGCTGGGAAACCATTAAGATATTAGGGAGAGCAGATATACAGGATGACTTTGTTGGTGCTTTAAATCAATATTTGATGATCTAGCATTGCCCCTCTTTGCTTGTCAAAAATTCATATATAAGCAATCCTTTGTGTGTGTTTCCTATGAAGAGCTGGTGTGTAACTGCAGTGGTGAAGGAGTGTCAGACCCTGACGAGTGTGACCGTGAGACAGCTATGGAAGTTTTTTTTTTTTGTTGTTGCAAATTTACAAAAGTAAAAAAAAAAAAAACACTATAGAGTTCAGACGTTTGGAGTTGGTAAGGCTGCATTTATTTGATGAAAAATACAGTAAAAGACAATAATATTGTGAAATTTTCATTTTAAATTAAAATATCTGTTTTATATTTGAATATATTTTAAAATTGTATTTATTCCTGTAATGGCAAAGCTGAATTATTAGCAGCATTATTCCAGTCTTCAGTATCCTGTGGAAATCATTCTAATATGTCAAGAATCATTCCTTATTATTATCAATGTAAAAAATTTTTTATAAAAAATTATTATTATTTATTATTATTATTATTATTTATTTATTATTATTATTTTTTTTGTAAACCATGATAAATTTTTTCAGGATTGTTTGATGAATACAACAATCAAAAGATCAGCAGAAATCTTTTACATTATAGCGTCAGTTGCTTAGAAACATTATAAATGTATTTACAGTCACTTTTGATCAATTTAATGCATACTTGCTGAACGAAAGTATTCATTTCTTTTAAAAATAAATAAATAAAACCTTACTAACCTCAAACTTTTAAATGGTAGTGTATATAATTGAAATATAACAATAAGGTACTGCACAGGGTATCTTCTCAGCCAATTACAAATATTCATAAAATGATATTCTTGATATTCTATTTTTTGATATTCTTAACAATTTTCATACAACTTCCATTTTTTCCAGCAGCTCTGAAATAATTCATTTTTAAGCCATAAATTATGAATCAGTTTTCCCTATAGTAGATTTCTTTAATAATTTATGTCAGTTGTCCATTTAAAACAGATACATGGACACAAACACTGTTTACACTACTATTATTTTCATATATCATGTTAATTATAATTATTTGAATAATTTATCATTCTAATTATTAACTTCAACTCTATCCTTCAAAACTTTTTTTCAGTTTCAGAAAACATTTACCGTATTTATCAATCATCTTTACCATAGAGAATGTTCCCTGACGTCCCCAGAGGAAGATTTTTTGTCAGATTTAGGACATTTTCTCCCTAAAGTATATAAGTAAACAGGCAGATTAGCTCAGTATCAGTTTCCTGTTGGCATATTTTTCCTAATGCTTTAATTGTTTAGTAGGTTTACAGTGAGACATACTGAGGATTGCCAATTTGAGCCTAATTAAATGACATTCCCTGCAGGGAGCAGATTGTTGTGATCCCAGCTTTGTTTTGGGACCATGACCAAAATCAGGATTAAGCCTGAATTTCCACATATCTTTAACTACAAATGTATACAGTTTTGTTGGCTACAGTTGAGAATGTGAAGTAAAATCAGCTCTGAACTGCAGCCTCGCATTATGAAGGTCACATTTTATGATCCGTTATATACCTTTTCAAAAAGCACCCAAGCATTCACTCTCATATATTGTCATGCTGGAGAAATAGTTGATGCCTAGCTGTAACAAGTCAGTCATTGTTCAGGTGGACCACCATATTTTAAATCAGCAATAAAGCTTTGAAGTTGTGTGATCTTTGAAATGCAGCTTCTAATAAAAATTCTAATTATACTCTACTTGGAAAGCTAGAGTTTTGTCTGTGAAATCACTGGTCTGCTAAGGCTGGTATCTTACTGTGTTCATACCTCAAGAGCTCCTCAGGGAAATTATAACAGCCAGTATGAGCCCAGTGCCTATTATGAAATCTTATATTAGCATATACTAATGGCCATATCAAAACTGAACTTGCAACTTGCTTTTTTGTTCCTCAATAGAGATTAGCTTCTCATAGTGCCCAAGTTAAGGTGCATCTACACATTTGAAGCTTGGGATTATATTCCGTTTCTAAATTTTAACATTTGTAAATGAATAATGACATAATCCTTTTCCAGTCACTTGTAGCATACTATAGAATACTTTTAAACGTAAAAATAAAAAAGAACTAAATTGATAACTATTGTGGAAAGAATATACGATAGTGAGAACTAAATTAAATGTTTTTTTGGACATTTAGTTGCATGCATTATATGGATTATGTAGCTATAAAATCTATTACAGTTTAGATTTATGTTAAATGCAGCTAGCTGAACGTTTGAGTGTTTTTTTACCCCACTTAAGTACACTGTAATATTTTTTGAAGTTATACGATTTTTACAAGAAAATAGTATTTTAGTCATTCTAATTAAAAATGTCATATTTAATTCATTTTATTTTGTTGCAGTTTCTTTGTAATTAATTGTGAAAAATTCTTTCTCTCCCTAAACCAAGTACAACTTAATATATAATTTCATACTTTCATGACTTTTATTGAAGTATGGTTAAAATGTACTGACAAACTTTTATGGTAAACTAAAATATACATTAATGTCAATATACTATTGAAACTTGTGTCATGTATTCAAATCTGATTTATTAAAATGCAATTACACATTTGTAATGATGAAGTCGAAATTTACTACATTTAAAATATTAACTTTAAGTGTAATATTGAATACAGTTATAATAATCAAGTATGTTTCATATGCTTTAGTATGTTAGTCAACACATCAAAATACGTCACAACAAAAGATTGCTAAAACATTGTGATTTGATGTGTACTTTAAAGTAAAACTTTTAATTTGACATTATGTCAAAGCGGACGTAAGTGAAACATAAGTCTGTAATGGACAAATACACAAACAGTAAAAGTCTCAGCATTGTAAAAAGTCTCACTCATGCAGCGCTGCTCAGCCAATCAGATTAAAGGACTGGAATATACTCTTCTATAACAACCCCAAATCAGTCACCAATTAGCATACATTACATTGTACGACATATCAAAAAATATATAGTGTTCTGTGATCTAAGTCAGTAAAGTATGATGCAAGTACAGGTTTTAGTATCTGCACAGCATCAGTTGCTTAGAAACTAGATCTTTCATGCATTCTTCCCCCTTTAGGAAAACATCTAAGTCTTTCACTTTGAAAGCATCAGCCCGGGTTCCACAGTTGTCACGGTTGTGAAGGATGCAGGCAGGAGAATGATGCTGGCATCTCCATGGCAGCAGAGAGAGCGTGAGGGAAGGGGGTCCAGTCGTTGTGTAACACTGACCTAGTTAATATGCAGCTGATCTGCCCCAGGGTCTCTGAAACATTAATGAGCTTTCTGCTACTGCTGCCTGCTCAACGTAGTTTGTCTCTCTGAAAACACTTACACACATACACAACCAATCCAAGTGATTAAGGAAGCCCCTGGTGATGTTATTATGATATATTAAGTGTCAAGCTAGCAGTGTTGGAGTGCTAAGAACTGGCTGTGCTGCCTGATGCTGGTCGAGTTTTGCTTTTATTTGATCAAACGCCATTTTAGTATGTGAATTATAAGGGTTACGTATGAAACAAGCACAGTGACGCTTGAGTAATTAAATAATTTTAATGAATTCAGTTTTTTTAATACCTCATAATCTCCAATTATTAAATTCAGTTTCATTTTTCATTAATTCACAATGTGATCCTAATTAAACATTATTTTAAATGCTATGTTTTATAACTAAAATAAGTTCCGTATTTGGCATTAAAATTATATTTATATATAAAAAAGGTATACACTATACCATTTAAGAGTTTGGGGTCACAATTTTTTTTTTTTTGATAGTCTCTTATAGTATGCTCACCAAGGCTGCATTTATTTGATCAAAATACCATCAAAACAGTAGTATTGTGAAATATTATTACAATTTAAAATAACTATTTTCTATTTTAATATATTGTAAAATGTAATTTATTCCTGTGATGCAAAGCTGAATTTTCAGCATCATTACTCCAGTCTTCAGTGTCACATTATCGTTCAGAATATCATTCTAATATGCTGATTTGCTGCTCAAGAAACATTTCATAGAAAGTTGAAAATAGAAAATTGAGGCTGTGGGAATACCCATAATTCCTTGCACTTGAATCATTTTATCATGCGCCTTTGGTCAATTTATTTCACATGCAGTAATATTTTAGTTTTTTTATTATTATTGCAGCTAATATTTTAATTTAATTTAAATTAATTTAATCACAGACTAAAACTTGAAAATGCTTATTGTGAAATGTTCCAGGAGTCTTGTGTTACAGCGTATCGTATTACAAATGACCTGTCAATACCGTCATGCCATGCTCACACAGCTGAGATGGCGCTAATGGCTGGACGGGTTTATTTCTGGTATTACGGGTATTTTCACTGATGTTATGACAACAAATAACCTACATTCTTTGCCAGCCTGGATTTTAGTAGCCTGCTTTAAAGAATTCGTTTTAAAAATGTGTTTTAAGCCGTATTGACCAACTTTTCCTTATACACAGTGGTGTGTTTCTATCCATATGCTTGCCTTTTTTTAATAAGGCTAAATTTATTGCTCTGGAATGGGGCGGATGCATTTAGATAAGCATCATGATTCTAAAAGCTACAAAACGCTGCCATTTCATGTTTACACAAATGCTAAATTTGCCGCCCTAATGAATGGTTCTGTTCAACAGCTGGCTTTAGAGAGCTGTCTCTGGCCCACAGACACACAGACGACGGCTCTGTCTGCTAATGAATGTCAATGCAAGGGAAGTCCGTGAGACAGGGTGTGATTGATCATTATCTGACCTTGATAATCACTATGTTTGTGTGTGTGTGTGTGTGTGTTTGGGAAACAGGCATCTTTATATGCTCTCACTGACTAATCTTTTGAATCCATAGTGTTTTTAGGAAAGGCAGATGTTTGTATTTTGCATCCGCCACAAGAGCCCTTGTTAACAGGCGGCCTTTTTCTCTTTCTTGATCTCCTTCTCTCTTTCTCTGGAGAATGTGATTGATAGGTCATATATGTCACACCTCACTTTCATTCCCCAGAATGCTCTGGGAGCTGAGCCATCGCCATGGCAACCTGTCTATTGGCCCGTGCACATCCACATATCCTCGTACCCACCCACACGCTCTGCCTCAGCAAGTGCAAATGTATCTACTAACACCCCATAATGTTAAAAGGATGTGTGTTAGGTAACAGTGGAGTTTTTAAAAAAAAACATATATCTATGGTTTTGGCAGCACATATTACGATGTGTTACTCCGTTTCCAGTGAATGGGAACTACAGCAACCAACTTGATATAGATTTTAGTCGTAGATATTATCAGTAGATATTCACCTCAAGTGAAAACAAGGGAATGGTGAATCTCAAGAAGAAATGTCCAGGTCATATTTCACGCCAAAATTAAGACATATAAGATATGATATGATATATATATAAGATATGATATATTGCATAAATAAAATAAAAACTTATTTATTCATGTATTCATTCATTCAATATATTTAAGCAAAATGTTATGATTTTTTCAAAAATATTACGATAATGATAGAATTTTTATAATGTACAGTAGGATACTGTGAATCAGAGGCTTAATTGTCATGAAAATAATATAACAATTATAATATAATTATATAGATATTATATTCATATTGATGCATGTGTATGTGGCTGTGTGTGTGTGTTGTAAAATATATGTATAATGTGCCTTATATTTATTTATTTTATTGTATTATTTATATTGTGTGTGTGCGTGTGTATACACACATATACATATTCACACATTATATACATATTTGAAACCAACTTTTTTTACATTGTGACATTATTTTTACATAAACTGAAAGATGCAGTACAACATATTGACCAGACAGTATGTGTCTCTCATAGGGATATGCGGTGTTGTGCATTTTGACCAGTTGATGGGAAAAGTATTCTTAAAATGCATTCAAAATTCGGAATAATTTGTAATATATAATTATTCACGGTATTTAGTAGTGCCCACGATAACAATATCGTGCATATTCATTACCGTGATATATCGCATTACCGAATACCGGCACAAGTCTAGTCTCTCACTAGCTCATTTTCACTCGCATCATATTAAATATGCGTCTTCTCTGACTAAAGATCTAGTCAAAATAGGGTGTAGCACTCTTTGTCTCTTTTTCCCTCTGTCTCTCTTTCTGTTTTTCTTCACTCCCCTGCTTCCTCTAGGCCAATAATGTATAATTTAAGAAGTGTGTCTATATTTATTCATTCAGATTGCACACTGTCTGAGTGTATGAAGGTGCAGGGCAGGTGTGATTCTTTGATGCATTGCAGGAAGCATCTGTGCGAAACAGAAGTGTCACAATTTCCATATGTTAAATCAACAATTCGCCTGTAAATGTGGGTGGAAGGTGATGACACTGATGATGTTGATCCTGTCCCTATTTTAAGGACGATTTATTGGCATCATTTTGACAATTTACACACATTTTCCGTTTATATCTCATTACTGTATTTAAAAAAAAAAGTCTTTAATTATTGAATAACTGAAGTCTGTTTATATTTCATTTATATTTCTTAAGGCAGAAAAAAAACATCAGCCGTGATGCTTTGTTTATTTCACCCTCTCTCTCATTCAAAATCTCCTTACATCCTCTCAAATCTCCTCCTTCTTTTGTGCTTCATCCGTTGGCTCTTTTATCGCTGCTGTTGTTGTTTTTCTGGGGTCCTCAGCATTGAGATCCTGTCAGCATGGCTGAGCGCTTTAAGCTTGTCCCACAGGTGTCATCATCCGCCCCTCTCTCATCTATCACTTGCTCCCCTCACACACAAGAACCAATCACACAACCTCTGGAAACCCCACCTCACCTCAACCTTCACCCCAGACCTGACGCAACAGCCCTGGGGTGTGAGAGAGTGTGTGTGATTTGGGGTTATGGAGGCGTGTTCATGTGTTTGGGGAGTCGACTAATGACTGTTTTAAGAGAGTGAGGGCTAAAGCATACTTTATCATCATCATCAGCAAAATTACTAAATGAAAGAGTGATAAGCACAAGGGTTCATTAGTGGACTTGCTAAGGCAAGCATCCCTTTTGCTATTGCTTAAACATATAGTGTTTGGGATTTTATCTCAGTAATGGTTTCTCTGTGGGCGCAGGAGAATCAGAACTGGTTTTGTAAGTTTACCGTACCTTGCACAAATACACACATATCCTGTGATAGCTGTAAGTATGCACAAACAAATCCACAGCCGTTTGCGATTGTACTCTTCATCAAAAATATATATGAGTGCTTTGTTGTATTTTCAGTAACTTCTGGGACTGTTATTTTTTGGCATTTATTCAAGCTGTTTGATTGTTATGTCTAGAAGTTCTAAAGACAGGTTACACTCACCCATTTGGCAAAAAAAAAAAAAAAATTGTGGCCAAAATATATTCGATATATATGCTAAATATATGTTGCAAACAGTAAAGTTCAATTAAATATAGTTCTGCCATGACAACTCTCGGAGGGACTCAGATTGAGTTAGACCTATCGGATTGCGCCATCTAGAGTTTCATGCCAGAACTCTGTATTTTTGAAATAGAAAATATATTCCGTTTCAACCTTCATTTACCAAAATATATTTCTAGCTGCCGGAAGTACAATTTGCCATCTTTGGTAATGGATGCTCTGGCCAATTACATGAGCTGTAATTGCCATGTGACACTTCAGAAAATGTAAAAATACTGTATGGTTTTGTGATTTTGGTTCTACATCAATAGATGAACTGTAAGGTGATCGTTCTCTGTTTTTTTTTCTTTTTCTTCTGGGTGTCTGATTTCATCTGTTGGTTGGTTCTGTGATTTCCTACATATGTAACACTTCCAAAAGCCTCTGTAGTTTCAGTAGTCAGACTGCTGTCATTTTGGGTTGACAACTTTACAGGCACATTGAGATTAAACACAATTATTGTGTGTGTGTGTGTGTGTGTGTGTGTGCATTTTTGTGACAAATGAGGACATCAATTTGTATAATGACAAGGGTATGACATAGGTATTACAAGGAGAAGGTGACTTTTCAGGACATTACCCCATGTCCCCACTTTTCACAAAAACAAACCTGTGTGTGTGTGTGTGCATTTTTGTGACAAATGAGGACATCAATTTGTATAATGACAAGGGTATGACATAGGTATTACAAGGAGAAGGTGACTTTTCAGGACATTACCCCATGTCCCCACTTTTCACAAAAACAAACCTGTGTGTGTGTGTGTGAGAGAGAGAGAGAGAGAGATAGAGGGAGAGAGAGGGATTCCTGGAATCCGGTCTGAAGCAGCAGATGGTTTTCAAATGTGGTCTGGGCCACAGGTCCCTCATGTGTACCCACATGCAGAAATGGTGGAATTAAAAATGAAAGGTCTAGACTGCTTTAAAGTATGCGTGACTGCGTTTTAGACCAGGATTGTTAGCTGTCTAGGGCAAAGCCATGTGTGTGCTGAAATGTTGTGTGATGAGATACCACAGGAACTGGATGCACAAAGAGGATGTTGTCCACAAGCAGGCACAATTTCCAGGCTGCCAGTGTCATAAATGTTAAAGCAGTGATATAGTTTTTTCATGTGTGTTTTCTGTGTTTCTCTCTTGCAGCTCAGGGCTGTGTAAGTGTAAGACAGGTGTATACGGGCCCAAGTGTGATGACTGCCATCCTGGATTCTTCCACTTCAGCAGCACAGGATGTCAACCGTGCCAATGCAACAACCACTCTACCTACTGCCACCCTCAGTCAGGTCAGTAAAAAAACTTATGCCTCACAGAAACTCTTACAAAGTGAAAACAAACACTCACTTGTGATCCATGTACACATTTCACGCTTATCGTTCATGATCTCAGTTTGAAGTATCTGTCATGGTGAAGCAACACTATAGGTGTGAGAAAATGTCATATGCTGTGTTTACCACAAAGAAGAGTTTAAACTTGGAAGATGAAAATAGCTAAAAAAAAAACTCAAAACCAACCAGTTTTCTCATAGTCTTCAATTATGTGCAACACAAACACCTCTGTCTCTACATTGAATATTGAGTTAAATACAACATCAAGCACAGGAATTATATCCAGAAGATCATCCATCAGGACAAAAGTTAGTTAAAATGATTGGCAAATTTGGTCACACTTTAGTTTGGGGACGAATTCTCACTATTAACTATGACTTTTGCCTCAATAAATAACAAATTTGCTGCTTATTAATAGTTAGTAAATTAGTTGTTAATTTTTAGGTATGGTGTGGATTAAGGGATCTAAAATATGGTCATGCAGAATAATGCATTAATATGTGTTTTATAAGTACTAATAAACAGCCAATATCAGACCAGATTTAAAAAAAAATAATAATAAACACTCACAAATAAATGTTCACAAAACATAACATTCTCCTGGATATTTTCTGTAACATTTTGAAGTTTAATATTTATAAACATTAAATCACATAATGCTCAATATTAGCTTTTAATTTGCATTTATATAATTAAGAATAAAATTGCATGCAACTTATAATACATTTGTAATACAAAATAAATACTTATCCATTCAAATAATGTTATAAAACAGATGAACTATACTTAGAAATATATTTTAAATAATATATTTTTATTAATATTTGTTAAACTTCATATAAAATTCAAAATACAAGAATATTATGATGCTTTTATTTTAGAATGCCATGAAGATCTTTTTTGGGTGAACTGTTCCTGTAAAATCTCCAGATTTGAGATTGACTCAACCTAGAGCGATTCATCAGAACATCCTCCACACTTCCCTCTCTTTTTCTCTCTTCCTCCCTGTATCCTAGGCAACCTAGGCTTAATTACCCTCAATTTGAATCAGGACCAAAAACCCCTATCAACATAATGCTCATGCTGGTGTGTGTATGTGTGTGTGTTAATTTGTTAAGCAAACCTGCTGACATCTGAGAAGTGTAGGCGTGTTTGTCTTAAATCATTTCAGCCGGGCCTTAGTCTGCTGATGTCACAGACGTGTTTGTCAACTGCTTGTTCAAGTGCATGAGCGCAGGTGTGTTTAGGAACCCATCTGTCTCTGTCTTTCTCTCTCCACGTTGTGTGTGTGCAGATGGTAGCTGGTAACCTTTCCTCAATGCGGAGAGCCACAGTCAGATTTACAGCCCTCCTTCGGTCATAAAACCCAATCAGCATCTCCGGAGACTGCTTACAGTTCATAGACTCACAGCCACCCCACAGCATAATACCACACACACACACACACGAGACGCGCAGTATTTCACACAGCTAAACAATAATTTGCATATTACACAAAGGCTTTTGGTCTTTGGCCAGTTAGTTTGCTTTGTCCTTGTCCACGCAAAACTCCTACCTGAAAACTGTAGCATACAGTTCTGATGTGATAAAGCAAATGCAGTACTTTCATGTAATTGAAATGAAGAACAAAGAAGAAAAACATAAATTCTGAAATAAAGAGTAAAAATAATTAAACCAGAGGCAAAACCTCACCAAAATAACAAAGATATACTGACACAAGATTGCATATTCTCATCAGCCACAATATGTACCATATGCACGAAATAAGGTACTAAAATGCACACTTTAGGGATAAATAAGGTACTGTTGTAACTTTTTTCTGCGAGTGCAGGGACCCTCACCCATACTTTTAGCCTTTCAGGGACCCTTCAGTGTAAAAACCTAGATTTTTTTCTGTAATAATGTGAGGCTTTCGTGAACATTTATAAAAATTATTATAATATTAAGTACATAATGCTGACTATTTTCTGTTAATTTGAGTTAATATACTTAAAATTACATGCAACTGGTTTATATAATATAATTTTTAATATAAAAATAAACTATTTACCTCTCAATATAATCAGTTATAAAACAGATAAAGTACACTTAGAATATATA